ATCCATTCGTGGACAACATTCAAACAAGAAGAAAAAGAACATGGCTTCGTTTGTTAATAAGTGACCGTCAAATGCTAATATTAACCGAAGTCCACGAAATTCACCCAAAAAAAAAAAAAAAAAATCAAAGTCCATGGAAAACTAGGGTTAAGCATTGGGTATCGGTATATTTGATATTTGTAGGTACCTGACCTATTTGGATATGTATTTTAACTGTACATGTGAAGAGGCGGGTAAATATCGGGTATGAAAAATGCATACCTGCTAAGTATCGGGTAAGTATTGGGTATGAAAGTTAATACCTACATGCCTAACTTGTATACCTGACCTGTATACCTTATCTGTATATTTGACCTTTTATATGGTTAATTTGTAATATAATGTTATGAAATTAAAATATTTTTTTTTTCTTCTGTCAATGAAGATTCAACTGAATAAAAATTATATGGATTTTTATTTGTATTTCTTTTGTTATTGTATATATAAACTTATGTATATGTGAGTGTATGTACTTAAGTATTTTGTTTTCTATATAAATTTATATTATATATGTGAACTTGTAATTGTATATTAATTTATGTATTTTTACTATAAAATTTTTATGAATATACATATATCCAATAAATTAAATAATAAATATAAATTTTTAATATCCAAATAAATAATGAAAATTAAAATCTTGTACTTATCAATGTTCAAACCAAATATAGACAATACCTACACCCACGTCTACCCATGCTCGCCTCCATTGAAAACCCCACGTCCCCACTCCCCACTCCCCACGTCAAATGATCCAGAAGCACGCCAAATGATGACTTTGAAAATCCACTTCAAATGAACCAGACCCACCCCAAAATCAAGTCCACAAAAGACCGCACGTTAAATGATGACTTTGAAGACCCACGCCAAATTTCAATACCAATAGTAATTCTCCAAGGTCATGGGAGGGCCACGTCACATGTCCCACCAAACAAGACCCAATTCACATTCTAATACTCTAATCAATGTCTCCTCTGGGTAATATAAGAGGATGTGTTTTGCCGTATTAGATCAGTATGATGTGTATGGACATGAGCATCTGTTGTATGCTAATTTAGTAAACTTTTTTTTGATTGATAAGAAAAAGAGTATAGTTGGTCATATGAATAAGTAATCCATTATATACCATTATAATTGATGAGATTAATGTTTATCAGTTAAATTTGTAAAAAAAATTGAT